CCCCAAAACCCCAAAACCCCAAAACCCCAAAACCCCAAAACCCCAAAACCCCGCACACATTAAATCCAATTGAGAGAAGATTATATTAAAATTGGAATAGCTCAAATAAAGAATCATAATCAACCAATTGGTTCAGTCACTGAAGCATCCCTGCTATAATCTTGAATTTGAAAGTGAAACACATTCTTCTAAATTATTGGAAGACATTTAAAAACAAGTATATCTAAAAATGAAGATATTGCAATTATTAATTATATTCAGCTTCTGAGTCATAGTTCTCAAAGCAAACTACAGGTTAAAGTATTAATCTTTTAGATAAATTCCTGCAACCACCTAATATTTAAACGATTCAAGGCAAATTTGAAAAGACATTAACTAACCATACTAATATTTGATGCTTGAATCGTCAGAGTGTTCTCTTCAAACATTTAGCTCCTTTAAATTTAATAGACATGCAAATTTATTGGTGATTGGTTTAATATTTATTAATCTGGACTATAGCCAAACGGAGTTTCCTCTAATCCATCCTTTGTTAATGAAAGCAATTTTTGCCTCAGAGGTTCATCACTAAAGTCTATTTGCTGGGTCAGCTTTTGTCTATTTGAAGAAAGTTGAACTTGGATAATAGTGTTAGGCTGCTTTCTAATCTCTGATTTTCATTTATCGTTTCTCTAAATTGTTATATTCAGAGCTTACATCAAATAATTCAACTCTTCTGATAATATAAGTCTCATTGCCCGGACTAGCATAGGTTCTTTTGGCGGTTTTGTTGATGCCCCAATGATTCTTCAAAGCTTTTTGATTCGTGCTAACCAAAGGAGTGCTTAATTGTGAATTCATAAAAACCTTTGCTAAATATTATGAACCACTTTTACATTTTAATGGTGTGTTTTGGAGTATTCTTCGATTATATACTTTCCTTTTAGATGGCATTGCATTATCTAAAAATTCAGCTTAAAATATTACTTTTCGAGTTATTTTCTAATCTTTGGGAGTAAGTTTGGGCGGATTCTGCTTCAATAATTAAGACTAGAAAATTATTTGTTAGAAATGCCAATTATTGATCAACATCTTGTTACTATCCACAACTTCGACCTTGCTTTTAACTGCTTTAATAGGCTCTCTCTCAAAAGCGGGACTACTTGCACTTAGCTGTTTTTATGATTTTAGGTCTGCCCATTGGAGGTTGCTTCACTAAATTCTTTTTAAAAATATATTCTTCACAAAGACTAGGTAACAAAATTAATTTGATGAATCAAACAATTGAATGATCATACCGTTATTTTGAATGCTTCCTTCTCTGAAAATAATTCCTTTGCTGCTCTTCAAGCATAATAGGCATAAAGGCTACAATTTCTTGACCAGCTAGCTTATTAAAGTATACAGAATCGATATTTGACCTTTTCCTTCACCCAAATTTAGATGCTAGCTTATTTTTATTTTCTGAACTTGATTCATTCGACTTCATAAGGTTGTTTATAAACTTTGTAAGCTATTTTTTTATATCATTTCCTACCTTTTGCTTCCTCTGAGTATCACCATATCATTTGGGAGTTGATCTTAGCACATCAATAGTTTTATCTCTAGTTTTCTCAGTACTTTTCTGACGGATTCCAATAGAGGTGATAAAACTCTTTAGACTATCCATTAATTGTTCGTCTTGCTTATTCTTCATTTATATTTTATAAAATATAATTCAATTAATATTGATCTCTGCGGGGTTTTGGGGTTTTGGGGTTTTGGGGTTTTGGGG